TAATTTGCCATCCTTCATCAACATCATCATCAACAACCTTTTAAAGTTCACTGCTGGACATAGGCCACTCCTTAAAAAGGAGGTTTTGGTCTATTGGAGGCTGGCCAGACGGGCTGGTATAAGGATTGTGTCAAGTTTTCCTTCTATTTGCAGTGCTGTGGTCCTGCGTAGTTTGTTCCTTTAGTCGTCTCTTAAGACACCCACGGGATAAATAGGGGTGGTGACACTCCGCATTCTTAATCCGTCACCACACGGAAATATATGCCATCATAAGGAGGTATTTTTCTTGTAATTTGAACGGAAAGTATATCTTCCTAAATAAAAAAAAAACGGTTCATAAATTTCAGAGACTTGCGGTAACAAACTTAAATTATTATTATTAATAAACGTAAAGTAACTTTTCTTTCTTTTTTCTTTTTCTTTTCTTTTTAAAAAGACAATTCCGCATTAGGAATATATCCTGTGTCGCGGGGGACTTTACAAACATACATGAAACGGACACAAATAACACCCAGACTCAGAACAACAATTTGTAGATCACACAAAGTGTCGTCCCATGTGGGGATCGGACCCACAACACTCGGCGTAGTGGCGCGGCGGCGTTTTGTTTTAAATCTACTACAAATATAAATATCTCCCAATCTAAGAACGTATCTCTTTTAACACAGAAAACAAAAGGCAGTGCACACTTTATCCAACTTACAGTCGATAGAAAGTGACTTCTAATGAGTGTCTATCGCGATAGAGTAACTGCTATGGTCACACGCAATGCGCGCCGATTCAACGAAATGGGTCAAACCGATTAACTAAGCGTAAAAAATAGATTTCAATTGTGTTGTTGCTATGAATGTACAACATTCTTTTGTATGGATATATTTAAAATAAAAAGGGGGCAGATACGAAAGAATGAGAAGAAAAAGAAATGGGTTAAGGCTAAGAATTTTATGTTATTTTAACGTAAAGAAAATGGCAAACGTAATTTGTTTTATGTATGTTTTGGTTTGCAGGGAGGTCCGCTAAGGTTTTTGTTGTTCCTGGAGGTAAGCGACTACCGCCGCCCATGGACAGCCGTAACTCAAGAGTCACATGTGCGTTGCTACTATTTTCTTTGGAGGGTTATTCTTAGCAAAGTAGCCGGTCATAAAAAAATACCGGCAAAGTACGTGTCGAGCCACGCCCAATGTAGGGTTCGGTAGTTACCTGTCGTTATTTCATAATATCATTAACATTCTAAATTCTGCAGTTTGGCTAGGAGTGTGGGGGGGCGACTTACTCAAAGATATCATGGCATGGATGAATTAAAAAATTAACGACCCCACTTTACAAGAAGTAGCCCAAAATTTTTTTTTCCATAATTTTATTTTATCTCTTTGTCTTTGTGATTATTATGTATCATCAACAGCCTTTAATAGTCCACTGCTGGACATAAGCCTCTCCTTAGAAAGGAGGTTTTGGCCTACTATACCACACTGGCCAGACGGGTTGGTATGGGGTTTGTGTCAAGTTTTCCTTCTCTCTGCAGTGTTGTTGTTCTGCGTGGTTTTTTCCCTTAGTTGTTACAACACCCACGGGATGAATAGGGGTGGTGACAATCTGTATTCTTAATCCGTCACGACACAGACGTTTTGTATGTTGTTGACGATTATTATGTATGTTGATGCGAAATTACAGGAGACGAACGGACGGAGACACCTGACGATAGAGATAAGAGTTCCGTTTTTGCTATTTTGGCTACTGATTCCGAAAAACTATGATTGTTCTTTTAGACATTTATAGTAGGCAGTTATTATGAAAAAAATCTTTGATAATATACATGGTTGAGTAGTGTTTTAAAAAAGTGCGATCATCCGGAATAATCAGTCGAATTTAAATTCGACTGAATATTTCGGCTCCGGATCGTGTTATTATAATAATATTATATTGTACCACATTCACACAACGCCATCTAGTCCCAAACTAAGCAGAGCTTGTACTATGGGTACTAGACAACTGATATAAATACATATATACTTTTTTTTTGTAAATACATACTTATTATACATAGAAACACCCAGACCAAATCAAACATTAAATGTTCACGCACACAAATGTTTGACTTGAGCGGGAATCGAACCCGCGACCTTTGGAATAGCAGTCCGTTACACAAACCACTACGCCATTCGGTCGTCGAAATTATGCAACTGACTGCGTGATTATGACTGAGTGAGAATCTTGGACTGAAATGCACACACTTCAATACATTTCATATCTTTTTTACTATTTCTCGTCCCAAATTACATTTAAATATGTAAGTCGTACATATTTCTACGCATTTTTCAATTTTCATTTATGAAACCCCTTTTTTGGGTATAAGTATTACTCGATAGATTTTAAAGTTAATTAACTTTTAAAAATTAAAACTGAACTAACTTAAGTCCGTGTGGTGACGGATTAAGAATACAAATTGTCACCACTCCAATTCATCCCGTGGGTGTCGTAAGAGCCGACTAAGGGAGCAAACTAAGCAGGACAACAGCACTGCAAAAAGATGGGAAACTTGAAAGAAACCCTATACCAACCCGTCTGGCCAGCGTGGTATAGTAGACCAAAACCTCCTTTCTAAGGAGAGGCCTATGTCCAGCAGTGGACTAGTATAGGCTGTTGATGATGATTGATGAACTTAATTTGGCGCAAAGTATAGTTTTTTTATAATTTTCATATGCTTAAGTCACTCTCACGACTAAGACGATCATGCAATGTATCAAGTCATTCAGAATACAAGGCGTGCCAAACAAATATACACACACTTTCGTAGATACTCGAAACACAACCATCCTGGCGCAGTCAAATAAAAAGACGCATAGTTTTAACAGCAACCATTAAACAAAGAAACATTACAATTTTACAAAGCCTTTTATTTACGAGTAATTAAAGTTATATTGTAAGCATAAGGCCAAAGGGAACACTAATATTTACAGCAAAGTACATAAAACTGGAAACAATCAAGTGTTCCGTATTTTACTTGTGTACATAATGTTTCATGCCCTTTGTGCTGTCTCGCTCTGACTCATGCTATGATATGCATTGTTGCATCCTATGTATGTAATAGACAGTAATTTATGAGCTCGCTTTGAATACTACACTTTCATATTTGCACCATACTGATTAGTATTCATATTTGATACTAGCTGAGACCCGCGGTGTTACCCGCGTTTGTTGTTATAACCGCGGGCAACGCCCCGGGGCGAAGCTAGTCTAAAAAAAGTAGCCTAAGTTACTCCTTATGTCATCAGCTATCTGCTAGTGAAAGTCCCGTCGAAATCGGTCCAGCCGTTCCAGAGATTACCCGGAACAAACAGACAGAGAGACAGACAAAAATTGTAAAAAATGTTATTTTGGCATATGTACCGTGTAAACATACATATGCATTTAGTGAAAAGCGGTTATTTTAATATTACAAACAGACACTCCAATTTTATTTATTTGTATAGATTAACTGGGAAGTTTAAACACTAGTGGCTGTTTCTTGCCCGAGAGGTTTACTTTATTTTTAGACTTAACATGTTTTGAATGGGAATTAAAAATGAGAATTTATTTTTTTAATAGTCAGAACAGATTTACGTAACGTCGTCACTCATCTCGTCATCATGCTTACATTATAAAGGATTTCCTAGTAACTTTTGCAAAATTCAAGGATTTAATTACAAAATTTACTTAAATGCACGAGATACTACGTTTCAAACAACTTTGTGTGTAACTGTTATGAATCTGTCATATCAAAGTGACGGTATACCAATTCGAATATTTTCAGGACATAAACGTTTGGAGAAAAAGCTTGGTCAATCTGTCTCTGAATTGTTTGTTTACTTTATTAATTATGTTTTAATGAGGAAAGGTCCGTGTAGTGTCGGATTAAGAATACGGAATGTCACTACCCAAATGCATCCCGTGGGTGTCGTAAGAGCCGACTAAGGGCGCAAAACAACGCAGAACACCAGCACTGGACAGACCAGCACAGCAAAAAAGAAGGAAAACTTGACACAAACCCTATACCAACCCGTCTGGCCAGCGTGGTATATTAGGCCAAAACCTCCTTTCTAAGGAGAGGCCTATGTCCAACAGTGGACTATTAAAGGCTGTTGATGTGATGTGATGATGATGAGGAAAGGTACTGAGGATACTAATATGATTATTGGATAAATTAGTTCAACAGTACAAAAAAAAACAGCTCAGAACTCCTTTATTTATTAACCTATTTGCTAATTCTTTCTTTATTTTGGAGGGTATACTTCTCGTTTAGTCCCTTTCAAATGCAGAAAACGAAGAAAAAAGTTGATTGCTATTCGTCATAATGTTATGCCTTGATTATGAAAATATCAGTTTCTCTTATTTCTATTACCATGTAGTTATGACATATTATTTATAGTCCGTGTCGTGACGGATTAAGAATACAGAGTGTCACCACCCCTATTCAGTCCAAGGGCGTCGTAAGAGCCGACCGAGGAAGCAAACTACGCAGAACAGCAGCACTGCAAAGAGAAGGAAAACTTAAAAGACAACCTTATACCAACCCGTCTGTCCAGCGTGGTATAGTAGGCCAAGACCTCCTTTCTAAGGAGAGGCCTATGTCCAGCAGTGGACTATTAAAGGCTGGTGATGATGATTGATGATATTATTTATATCATTTATTATATTGTGCATTGCTGTATATCATAGTATTGGGCTCCGGTTCCCGCATTTACACTTAGGGACGATCCTTTATGCTTCACTCCAGCTCCTTACAGAAGCGTAGAAGCCTCCTAGGCGTTCACAAGCTTCTAGGAGCAAATTTGAATCACGTATGATATATGACCGTTGTGAGGCCACTCTCTCGTATTCCAGGATTACGTGGGCGGCGTTTCTTCTGCTTTGAGACATCCTCTGCAAAGTTGACTATCTGTCGCATTAATGGTGAATAGTTGTCGATTCAGGGCTAGGTTCCCGTTTATCGTCACGACAACTATTCGGTGTACATCGTTCATATGAAAATATCTGCCTTCAAAAGGGAGGTCGGAAGGCTACCGATAACTGCAGATCACGCAGTGAGCCTTGAGGTAATTTTCCTACTTAACAAGTAAATACCAAACTATACAATTGAATTAATAGCCTATGTATGTTGACATGCTTGCACACGCCCCGTCGCCTGCAAGGACCACATACCTTCCTCCTCAATAACAGTATGACTAATCCGACATTTTGTTCAGACCATCTGCCACAAATGTGCGGCCACACCTGAGTTACCATACTTTAATCAATTTCCATTCACCATTGTTTATTGAGACCGACCTTACCGACACTTGACTAAATATTGTTTGTTTGTTTGACTGAATTTTTCTCCAACACCTCTTGTTGTTGCTCTGAGACAATATTAATGAGTCAGTCAAAATGTTTACTGATTTTGGCTAGTAAGCATCTGTATTTCCTGTATTTAAAAAAAAAATACCGACGATCCGTGTTGGTTGATAAGAGGTATCTGTACTTAAATCTGTACCAATACTAGCCGACCCACGCAACTTCAACTGTTGATCTCAAGAGGTTTTATTGTAAGATTTTTTATTGATGCTCGGCATCTTTTAGAGTTGGATAGTTCATTTATCGAGGAAGGCTATAGGCTTCTTATTAATGGGAGCAGCGCATCGATGAAAAATGTTGCAAAAACGGTTTTTTTTTTCTTTTGAGAGACGCAGACGACTTTGTGCGGGACAGTGTATTTAATACGTTTTTCTTTTCTTTCTTGCGATGTAACCCTCAGTCTTCATCAGTTCGTCATCATTCTATCCATGTGGCGATTTTATTTGGGGTTGACGCAACACGTAGCAACATTGCAGTGGGATATGAGTGTTTTTTTTAATAATTTTAACATCTAACAACGGCCGAGATATCCCAAACTAGGCATAGCCTGTTCTATGGTAACCAGACTGCTGATAAACATACTTGTATATTTCTAAATACTTACATATAATAGATAAATTACACCCAGACAGAGAACAAATGATCGTGCTCACCTCGCAATATTGGTCCTGGTTGACAAAATAGAACCAATCCGATAATATTCTTTTGACAGGACCACTAGACTGGTTAGTGACTTTGACTGCTAAGCTGTAGGTCGTGGGTTCGATTCTCACCCAGGACGAATCATTTGTTCTGTGCCTGGGTGTAAATCGTCTATCTTATGTATGCATTTATGTTTATCAGTAGTCTGATTACCATAACACAGCCTAGTGTGGCATCAGACAGTCGCGTGTAGAAGTGGGAAGTTATCATTAGTTATTATATATAAATATACTGGGTCTACCAATAGGGATGACCTGGTTTTGACAGCTCATAGCGGCCATGTTTGATGATGGATCTTGACATTTGTGTTCTGTAAGGTTTGCCATTTTATCATGTCACGTTTCACTTTAAACCAACGCTTGGAAATTGTCAAAAAATTATTTGAAAGTGACGAAGGAAACCCTGTTACTGTGAATGGCGACCGCTATACCTCGATGTTAACCGAATATTTCCTTCCGGAATTTGATGATATTGATGCAGACGACCTTTATTTTCAACAAGACGATGCACCACCTCACATTACTGGTAAATACCTATTATATAATCTATATATAAACACTTAAATATATATAATTAGTTTTCACTTATAACTGAAGAAAAAATTCAGAGGCGTATTAAAAGTTGACCTAATTTTCGAGTAATAGGTACTTATAACATAACCTTAAAATATTATACATAACATACATTTAATAATATGTAGGTATTCTAACTCAATTCTCAATAACATTTAACACAGCTGTGAAAAGAATATTAAAAATACCTTTACAGTGACTAACACATGTGAAATAACTAAGTATATCTATATATATATATTTAGGAAAAACACATGTTTGTTTCAGAAATAATTGCAGTAGTGCCTCACTCACCGACAAATTAAAGTCAATTGATATTGTTTACAAGACACTGCCATTTTATTCCCAGCAGTAATAAAGCAGCCTTTCGTTTACGACAAAACTGTCAATAACTTTAATGAGAATATGGTGTCTTATTTAACCTTTTCTGATTGGAGGAAGATCACTTTTTATAATTTAGGGCACACAGGAATAAATGAATGTACCAACTCTTGAAGAAGGTGGAATAATACACCGCTATTGTTTCCTCAAATACTGTTTGCAGGAGTTCTTCGTGTGTGAAAGAGGAACGCGAAATGTACAAGTATATGTGTTGTTAGTATCGTTATCGATCTGTCCCTAATCTTGATTAATATTACAATGTGCCAATGTGAATTGTCTAATTTATTTTCGACTAACTAATTAATTTCACGACTTCGATTTCGATTTCGACAATTCAGTGGATCATCAGGAAATAATTAACTTTAAGGAGAAAATCTCTTTCCGAAGGATAATTGAAATGATTTGAAAAGTTTCTATCCTTCCAGTGGATGAAGGATCACAGAAGGTTTGAAGGCAACGTTGCAGCGGACAAATTGGCTAAAACATGCGCCATGGCTAGGGAATTCATAGTCATCTCCTCGGACATATTTGTATTCATTTCTGGTGAAAAGCGTATTAGACTCCAACTCAACTTCATATCTGAAGCCATGAAGGCTGTAGACCGTTGAGGGCGGTACTTGGTGGCTGTCACTGGACATGGCTCCTTCAACGAACAACTTTCTGACAAAGTCTTACCAAGCAGAACATGCTTGGAGATGGAGAAAACAGCGATGACATTTTTTTAGTATAGCGGGGCAAACAAGCAGTCAGGTCACCTGATGGTAAGTGAATACCACCGCCCATAGTCACCTGCAACTCAAGAGTCATAAGTGCGTTGCCGTACTTTTAGTCCCTTCCCCCAGAATCAGTGGAGAGGGAGGGTTTGTGCTCCGATATACTCACTAAGTATAAGCAACAAAATGCCTGGTTAAGGTTTCCTTGAGGCCGTGGTGTCACTCCGGAGCCTGGCCCACTTGTGTCGAAGTATGGCTCTCCCACGACAATTACATTAGGCAAATCCCTAAACATGAGCTTTCCGTTTTGTTAAGGAATATTTTTTTCGAAATACTTCCCCAATTCAAAACTAACTAACTAAATTACTGACTAAAATTGCTATAATACTATGACCAGAGTGGATACTTGAAATGAAGGATCATCAGCATCAGTCATCAACAGCATCTGTCATCAACAGCCTCTAATAGTTCACTGCTGGACATAGCCCTTTTCATAGAAATGAGGTTTTTGTTTACTATACCACATAGGCCAGACGGGTTGGTATAGGGTTTGTGTCAAGTTTTCCTTGTCTTTGCAGTGCTGTTGTCCTGGATAGTTTGCTTCCTTAGTCGGTTCAGGACCAATAGAGGTGGTGACACTCCGTATCTTTAATCCGTCACTATACGGAATAATGAAGAATATCGTTCTGATAAAACAAAGTAATTAACTGCATATAAGAAAGATATTCAACAGCTCCATAAAAAAAATAAAAACCTTGGCTAAAACTACCTAATTACATTACAAAATAAGGTTTCAACTCTAAAAATAACCTGACCTATACTTTTATGCAAAATATCAATTATTTAATTCTCTCAGATGATATTTAAATTGTAATTCAAAATAATATTACCGACATATTAATTTAAGGTGGTTTGTCCGTGACCTATGGCATCGAAACTTCTCCATGTTACGCAAAACAACAATTTAATACTCAGATTGTTACTGGATCTGTTGTTGATACTGTCCTAGAGTTGATCTCTACGAATACAATTTGCATTTATAAAATAAAGATGTCAGGTTTTCCGCAAGCAATTCAATTTTTTATTTATTTATTAATAGTACTAGCTTATGATCGCGGCTCCACCCGCATCAACGTCGGTTATCGCGATAAAAAGCCTATGTCTAGCCTGTATATTAGGTTATTATAAACAGTATTGTATGTATATAGTACCAGTTTTTGCCCAATGTTCGATATCGCGGTAGAAAGTAGCATACGAGTATGTCTTTACTCAAGAATCAAAGTATCTCCGTACCAAATTTCATCTAAATCGGTTCTGCGGTTCTTGATTCCCCATACAAATTTCCACCCACTTAAGGGATGATTTCTGGGATAAAAACTACTCTATGTGATTTTCCGGGACTCGGACTATCTTTTTGCCAAATTTCTTTTCAATCGGTTTAGCACTTTAAGCGTGACGAATTAACAGACAGACAGACACACTTTTGCATTTATAATATTAGTGTGGATACGTAGAATTTATACATAAGTGGATACACACAATACCTTGACTATAGTTTTAATTTCAGAGAATAAGCTAATTATTCAATAAAAACAAAAGAAAAGAAATTTTTAAATTTTCATATCCCCTCTGTCACTTTTAGAGTCAAGAGGTTTCTAACGACACCTCCCGGAAGTTAATCCGTCAATTCGTTATATAACTTGAGAAAAGTTGAGTTCTTCTACCTTATATCTTACTCTAACTATCTTTTCTTTTTTTTTTTGTTGGAAATCCTTTCGGATCTCAAGCTCAGAAGGGACGTAGGGGTCAGGCGTATGTGGTGCTTCCACTAAAAACCACACCTACGGCCGGTCTTAGGCGTCCATCTCAGGGTATCATTGCATAGAATTATGTCGGTAAGCTATCTATTATTTTACGGATTATAATACATTTTTGCATGTGAAATGTATGGAATTAATTGTATACAATGTATTTTGAATGTTTACAATGAATTATATAATAATATAAGATGTAAATTTCTCGTAGGAGCATACTCAACTAAAAAAATCCTCTCACAATATAATTAACATTTTTACATATGTACATTGTGAGTGTTTTCCTGACAAAAAATACATACGCAACAGACATACAACATAACAATGATTTATTAATAAAATTTCTTGGTAGATGCCCCAAGTTACGACCCGTTGTTGGGAAAGTACGGAATAAAATCAGAATTATTTAGAAGTGGTTTCATTTTAATTTGCATAGTTTTAGAGGGACATATATTTATTTATGTAAAAGTTTACTTTAAAAAAGTGTCACCACATCACAAAGCATGATGAATCGTAATGAATTGTATTTTTCTTTTTGTAGTTTATAATTCACTGCTAGAGAGCCATGCTACAGCACAAATAAGCCGGCTCGACCATGATACCACAGCCTTACAGAAAACCGATGTTAAGCTGCGTGATCTGTGCTGGTGTACTGAGTCTGCAGGAGGCCCGAACCTGCCTTCTTCCCAACTTTGAAATAAAATGAAATTACGGGTCACCTGATGGAAAGTGATCATCGCCGCCCATGAACGTTTGCAATTCAGGAGTCACAAACGCCAGCCTTTTAGAAAGGAGTACGCTTTTGTGTTTCTTGAGCGGGAGTCACATACCATCCATACACCATCAACTGCATTTAATAGTCAACTGTTGGACATTCGCCTCTGGTTTTAATCAACTATATCACTCTGGCCAGACGGGTTGGTATAGGGTTTGTGTGGAGCACACACCCCCGTCGATGGCTGCATCAGCCGGAGACGACGGGGGCAGCGAGGTCGATGTTCCGCCCGTCAGGGAATCGGAGTTGGGGGCGGCTGTTCTACGGATTCGATCCAAGAACACCGCCCCCGGGCCGGACGGGGTTCCAGCCCGAGTGATGGCCCGAGCCCTCGACTACATGTCGGACCACCTCAGGGGGGTGTTGGACGCTAGCCTGGCGTCCGGACGCTTCCCTGAGCGCTGGAAATGCGGGAAGCTGGTCCTGCTGCAGAAGCCGGGACGGCCTGCCGATTCGGTCGCGGCCTATAGGCCCATCGTGCTGCTGGACGAGGCGGGCAAATTGTTTGAGAGGGTTCTTTCTGCCCGCATCGTCCGGCACCTCTGCGAGGTGGGCCCCGATCTGTCGGACGCCCAATTTGGTTTTCGGGCGGGGCGTTCGACAGTCGACGCCGTGTTGCGCCTGAGGGCCGTGACCGAAGAGGCAGTGAGCTGTGGCGGCGTGCTGTTGGCGGTGTCATTAGACATCGCCAACGCATTCAATAGTCTGCCATTCAGCTGCATCAGGGAAGCACTCCACTATCATGGGGTGCCAAAGTACCTGAGGCGGCTAGTGGCAGACTACTTAGAGGAGCGTACCGTCGTGTACGAGGACCGAGAAGGTAATTTGAGGAGTCGGCCCATGTCGTGCGGTGTTCCACAGGGGTCTGTTCTTGGACCCCTCTTGTGGAACATAGGGTACGACTGGGCCCTTCGCGCCGATTTCCCCCCCGGGCTGGGTGTAATCTGTTACGCAGACGATACCCTCGTGACAGCCCGGGGGGCAAACTTCCAAGAGGCGGCGCGCCTGGCCACAGGGGGAGTCTCCCTGGTGGTCGGGCGCATTGAGGCGCTGGGCTTACGGGTGGCCCTCGATAAGACGGAGGCCCTGTTATTCCATGGGCCCCGTCGTGGTCCACCCCCTGGCGCCTCAATAGTGGTCAACTCGGTCCTCGTACCGGTTCGGGCCCAGATGAAATATCTGGGCCTGATCCTCGACGGGAGGTGGCTCTTCGACGAGCACTTCCGACAGCTTGCTCCAAAGCTGGTCGGCGCTGCGTCTGCCCTAGGGCGACTCTTGCCCAATATGGGTGGACCCAGCGTCGCGACAAGACGGCTGTACACGGGGGTTGTCCGGTCAATGGCACTGTACGGTGCACCGGTGTGGGCGGCGGCTCTGACCGCCCAGAATATCGGCGAGTGGCTGACTTCCGGGCGGAGAGCGGATTTCGCCCTCCTCCCGAGGATGTGCGCGAGTGGCGCGAAGCCGCTCGCCGAGCCACGATGGCTCGTTGGTCGTTCCGGCTGGAGACTCCACGCGCTGGCTTCGCCGCCGTGGAGGCTCTCCAGCCGGTCATCGCCGAGTGGGCAGGGCGGCAGCACGGGACCCTTTCCTTCCGACTGACGCAGGTGCTTTCCGGGCACGGTTGCTTCGGAAAGTACCTGCACACGGTCGCTAGGAGGGAACTGAGTCCCGCCTGCCACCACTGCGACTGCAGTGAGGACTCGGCCCAGCACACGCTGGCGGTCTGCCCCGCATGGGCGGCGCAGCGCCGGGCCCTCACTGCAGTCATCGGAGTGGATCTCTCGCTACCGGCCGTAGTACGCTCCATGGCCGGTAGCGACAGTTGTTTTACCGCGGTCGCAACCTTCTGCGAGGTAGTAATCTCGCGGAAGGAGGCGGCGGAGAGGGCCCGGGAGGACGACCTCCACTCGGACCCGATCCGCCGCCGGCGAACCGGGCGGCGGAGGCCCGCCTACCACAGCCTCATGCCGCCCTGAGTGTGGCCGCGGGTGGACGGGGTGGGTTTCCCCTCCACCCGCATTAGTTGGCCAGCCGCGAGGGGGCGGCGTCCGCGTGTGCCGGACGTCGCCTAAAAAGAGAGGAACAATATCGAGACGGAGCCCGCACCAGGAGCGGGCTGGCGCTAGGAGGGGTCCGGATGTCTTAACAACAGCTGTTCCCGGATCCCTCCTGTTACAGGCGCAGAGTGGCACACCGTGTGGTTTTAGTCGGTCCGAGTCCGACACACCACCCCGCCGCAAACCCCGGAGGGGTGACGGTCCGAGGGGATTTCCACACGTTAAAAAAAAAAAAAAAAAAAAGGG